TCAAGGTGGTTTCATTGAATGCTTGCTTACTGTGTAGTTCTTGACGATAATCAAACACCCGTGGGGACCCGCAGCCAGCCGAATCGCAGTCAACACCTGCTTGGTACTTGGGGACGCAAATACGTCACCGCAGATGACCCCCGTAAGCATGCCATGTCCAATGTATCCAGCATGAGCTGGCTCGTGGCCGCTTCCACCTCCAGACAACAGGGTTACTTGGCGCTGCTTGAGGTCATTGTAGTCGCGATGCAGGACGATTCGGTAGTCAGGGACAAGGCACAGATCCGGGGACGAGTGCACCAAGCCACGCAGCATCTCATCGACCACCGAGGTCGGCGAATTGATCATTTTGAACGCCGTTGTCATGGCGATTTTGCGAATGTGTGCCAAAAAAGACTTTCAAAGTGCACGCAGTACATCCGGATAATTAACCGGAGTATTATTGTTTCGTCTACCAGCGACATGCATACATGGATCACCCATGAGTGAATGGAGGTGCTCTTAGGACGCAACCATCGTACATTAGCACCACGTTGGGAACGTTGTTGGTAAATGCCGTGCCAGGAACGAGTCGGGGCAACCGCAGCCGCGCCACAGGATTCATGTCGAACTCGACCATGGTGTCGTGGACAATGGTCATTCGAATCGCAGGATTTTGCATGCGGCTGAAAAACCTGTCGACAAGCATCGATCAAATCAAGTTCAATCCTTCGATTGCGAACTAGTATTTTCTACGTAATGAAGTACCTCTTTGCAAACACGCTGTATCCCGATGCACTGGCGAACACGCCGACAACACTGTTTGGCTGGGAACTCAGCACACCTTCAAACTCGCGCAGATATGACACGCCGGTGGGGGATTGCTCGTGCTTGCACTGGGTAACGATTTGCACATCGTTGTCAGGTAACGCCCACACTCCCTACGACCGCAACATAATCTCAATGTGAATCAACTGACATGCGTACGTAGTGGTCCACGCCGCCATCCACTGACATCGACGTTGGTGTGAGGCGGCAGTTGTACAGGGCCATCACCCGGGCGACTTGATCTTCGTACTCAAGACCTTTCTCGACGGCCGTGACGACTGTCTTGCCCACAGTGGTGCTGTACTTGCACGAGATGAACCCACAAACTCGCCTTCGAAGCGCCAAGGGAACGACATGTTGGCCAAGCATGTTGCTTTTCGAGGTGGCTATTGCTTTTTATCCGGAAATCACTATCCGGATAATCCTCGCGAAATCATTCGGACCGCTTCAAGCGAATGAACAATTGAAGTGACATTTTGTCGAGGACAAACCATGGGACTGGCGGCGGAGGGCACGACGACGTCCACATGGACTCAGAAAGTGATGGACTTGCTCAAGCAAGACCGCACGATCAAGAAGTATGCTTGCATGCTCTACTTGATGAACTATCTGCATTACGTGTGGACAGCAAAGCGGCCATCGCTGACGTACCAGTCGTCGCCTCGTGCAGCGGCCATCCTAGCGAAATGCTCGCTCTTAGGTCAGTGACTTTGCTCCTTTCGCTGCTATGATGCCCATTGTAGTTGAAAAGTATCATCCGTCTTGGTACTTGCTGAACAACGGGTACGGTCGGCTGTCGCATCAACAGCAACTTCTTTGGTTCATGATGTCGCAGGCACTTGCACACGATCATGCTGGCCAAGCTGACGTCCCATCCAGAGATTCATTACGAGCGCCAAATGGTTTCACTTGCCGATGGCGGCGCTGTGTCTTTGGACTGGGCGGTTCCGCCTGGCGTCGCTCCGGCTGCCGTCAACATCCCCGACGTCCCGACTGTGGTCCGTCCATCGACTCTCTACCTCCATGAACGTGCGTCACGCACATTCGTCATTAGGTTATCTTTCATGGTCTCACAGGAGGCAGTGGCGATGTACGTATTCATCATATCTACTTAGCGATCATCCTAACAGATCGTATTAGAACTACGTATGTGTGACGGCGGAGAAGCTGGTGCGCCAGGGCTGGCGTGTGGTTGTGATGAATGCCCGAGGGTGCGCGAATACGCCGCTACTGACCCCCCATGTCCGTCGTGTCCCTTCTACGATCCATCTCTCATATCGCAGCCACCATGTAGCTGTTTTGCGGTGCCTACACGAACGACGTCCGGGAAGTCGTGGCCAAGCTCCGCCGCGACCACGTGCCGACGGCGCCGCTGGTTTCCGTGGGGTTCTCGCTCGGGTCCAACATCATGGTCAAGTACATTGGCGAAGAAGGCGCGGCGTGTCCGCTGTCGGCCGCCGTGTCTGTGGGCAACCCGTACGACTTTATGTGCAACAGCCGCAACATGAACTTCTCGTTCGTGCACGACGCCATCTACAACGGCCCTCTGGCCACGAACCTCAACAACTTGTTCTTCCATCAAGTGAGTGCATGGACTTCTGAGACAAGGTGACTCAGCTGTGACACTGTAGTCGAATGCCCACCAAATGTTTGCCGCCCACCCCGACATCAACCTCGTCGCATTGCAAGCCACGACTCGCGTATGGGACTTCGACGAGCAGCTCACTCGACGTGCGTTTGGGTACGACGACTTCCATGTAGATGCATTCTCTCACATACAATGTACATGCATGATAGTACCTGTCCATATGAACCTATAGTTTGCACTGGAATAGCAATCCATAGACTCCCAATGAATGTATATAGTTTGCACTGGAATAGAAATCAAGCGACTCTAAATGAATATATATAGTTTGCACTGGAATAGAAATCCATAGACGAGAAATCACGAGATGGGACTTTATCTGCATGTCTAAACGTCAAATTGCATATGGCAGTGATATAATATGCAATTCTGGATGACATAGGTATGCGTCCGTGAGCGAGTATTACCGCGATGCGTCGAGCAGCCAATGTACGTACGTCTACTGTGTTGGTCGGTGGTCCCCATGTTGATTTGCGAGGGTAGACTTGAAGCATGTCAAGATTCCGCTGCTGTTGCTGTCTGCAAAGGACGACCCGATCTGCATCCACACGGCGACCCCGTTCGACGACGTGGTCGCGAACGAGCATCTGATGCTGGCGGTCACAGACACTGGCGGTCACTTGGGGTTTTTCACGGGAAACAGCGTCGTGGACGTGCCCGACATGTGGTCAGCCAACGTTGTGGCGCAGTTTTGCAATGCGATTGACGGCCTCCACGCGTCGGACAAGCCGTCGCTTGCCCGACGTCTGTTTCGATCGGTGGACCAACATAACGCTGACACGCAGGTTGGGGCAACAACGATGAATACATCGGGGGATGTTGGGTCTGTTCTCGATCACAAGGGTGTCATTATCGATGAAGAGGGACAAGTCTCCCTTCGACGCATGGCCGCGGCGCTAGCTGCGCTGGCAGTCGTGCATTTTGCGATCAAACATCGACATGCTGTGCACAAAAAGTGGTGGTATTGACGTCGGCGTTGTATTCGTTCTCGAGCTTAATAATGAAACTGTTGGTCGTTCGTGGATTTGCCAGTCCCCTAAAGGTAGCTGCTTAGTCGTTGCAGTGGCATATGCAGTGTAGATATCGTGTAAACTTACAGAGGGGGCGCCATTGGACGACCGTCGGATTTCCTTGACGGCCGCGGCAAGTGCTTCAGGGTTCACGCCCTTCTCGACTAGGGAGATGAGAATGCTGAGGGATTCCCGATCAAGTCCCGTGTTGAGAAGTCGCGACAGCTCGTACACAGCTACACGTCACAGTGTCAAATCGGCATGATGCTTGGTAGAGTTCACATACTTTCAAACGCTTCCTTGCCCTGCCCGATCTCGCTAGTGCTTCCATCTTGGTTCATCCTCCAAACCTCGTTTAACGTATTTATTTGAGTAATCGCACTTCAGAGGGTGGTATATTTCTGGAATTTTCATGAAAGTGCCCATAGAAATATCATGCCCATAGAAATATCATGAAATGTCGCGAAAGGTCATGACATTTCTTGCAAACAGGGCCATTATCGGACCATTCTTCAATTTGACCAACAACCCACAAGCATGACAACGAACGCTATGAAAGCGCAAGGCCAACTGGCTGCCATTGCCGACCAAGCTGACCGTATCCACGACATCGTGACCACACGTCTGCCGCACCAACACGGGCTCGTCGCGGCCGAGATCGCCGCCACGAGGTGGCTGTCTGTGGCCAACAACGGCAACGCGGCAACTCGCCTCAAGAAATGCAAAATGCAAGTGACCAACTTCCGTTTCCGAGTGCTGGAGCAAGGCGAACGACTGACTCGGCTGCTTTGCGACTTGGACCTGGTCGACAGCGATGGCGACCAACAGATCCGACAAGAACGCAAGCGACTCGTGCTGCACATCCAAGACGAACTTCAGCTGGCCGATGCGTTGAAGCACAAGTGCGATAAACTCGTTGCCTTCCACGCGTACATGTTTCCCACTCCTGTGGAGGCGGCAACCCCAGTTGGTTCTCCCATCCAAGCGGAAGCCAACCCTGAAAAAGCCACCGCGTCGGACAACGAGACCGACGACGACGACGACATGGAACCCAATGATGACGACAACGACAAAGATATCGACATGGACAACAATGACCAATCCGACGAGGAAGAAGGCGAACCTGAAGACGAGTCGCATCTTCCCGTGTGGAAGCCCCGCTTTGAACTGCGCGACGGCCGCGACGGCGCCGTGTACCTCGTGGCGGACCTCACGGGCGTCGACTTGGACCGACATTTCGACGTCCATGTCGATGGTGATGTGCTGCGCGTGAGCGGAACGAAGCTGCCCACTCCTCGCGACTTGCAAGTGATGCGAATGACCCAACAACCCACCTTTGGACGGTTTGCCATCGAAGAAACGTTCCCGCGGCATCTGTTCCATCTTCAGAACGCGACGCTTCGCCGTGTGTCTGGCGGTCTTGTCGAAGTCCGCGTCCCTCGGGCACGAGTGCCGTTCAACGCCAGGCGCAACATCTATCGACGACCAGCTCCGTTTGCCAATATGGGCATGGCGTGGTAGTTCAATAAACTTTATTTAACAATGAAATTGCATTCTACACAAGTTACTCGACGGACTTGTTCAATTAGACTAGGTTGTCTTTCTACAAATACTATTACACGATACAACCTGGCGTGGCCGACGGCCACGCCAGGAACTGAAGGTGCAGGGTCCACCTTGGCGCACACCTAGAATGCCGACGCCCAAGCTGATCACGCGACGCAGCGGCACTCTGCACAGCTCGATTGCGTCCACGAGGTCGTCCGTAAAACAGTCTCCATGTTTCATTCGAAGCGACGTCTACAGATGGGCTTTGACAGAGTGTTTCGGCGATTCGTCATTTTCCATCCATCTCAACGCCCAAGTCGTGGATTGCGAAGGTGTTAAAGGAAAGGAGCACAGGGCGTGACAATACTGCGCCACCACTTGTCGAATGTCGTCCATGTCGGCGACGTTGAAGAGCTTGGTGATGGATATGGATTACCCGTGGAGTCCGCACAGGGGTCTTCGCACATCCACGCGCCTTCACCATAACGGCGCGCGTTAGTTGTTGGACGAACGTGTCCGCCGCATTCTGAATGTAATTCGATACCTCAGTCATGTTAACTGAAGCTGTTTTTCTCACCCCCCAACTCCCCCCATGGAGAAGGAACTGTGTAGCTGAAAATTAGTCTCGACATTCTACTATAAGTATCAATGGAACATCCATGACGCAAATGCTGCCGCACGAGGAGAGCCATCGTTCCTCCAGTACCGTCGCAATCAACCCCCTACTGTACTGTACATAGCCTAGGATGCATGTCGGTTCGACATGCGTGTACAATGTACCCTCCATGCTTTGTTCCTACAGTACAAGGGGTTCTCGGATAGGGTGGTAGATGCATCATTGTCCCTGCAGCTCACCACATCTGAAACGCCTTGAAACGTCTGCCCCCCCTTCCCCAACAACAACCCCACTAGTCGATACCACTATATGTCAAAGCGCCACCTTAGTCCGTCGCCCAAGACGCCCACTGTCCTTCGCAAGAAGCGCGAGAAAGCACCAGTAGCCGTGCAAGCTCTCGCACAAGCCCTCTTCTCGGGGTATGTCGACTCTTTTGTGATCATTCGCGTGCTGTCGCTCGTGAGCCGGGACCTGTCGACCCACGGGGCGCGCATTGTCAGGTCCCTCGACCTCCACGCCACCCTTCGCCCGCATAAACTGCTCTCCCAGTGTGTCCTTCGTCGATACCACGCCGGCCTCTTGTCGTTATCGCTGCAATGGACTCCATCGACCACCGACGCCACCGTCGCACTAATTGCATCCTCCTTGCCACAGCTCACAAATCTCAACTTGCACGGGTGCCACAAGCTCACAAACGATGCATTGGCCACCATCTCCGCCGCGCTACCGTCGTTAACGTCCCTGGACCTGTCATTCTGCAGTGGTCTCACTGATCCCACACCGCTGTCGTCCTTAGAACACCTCCAGACTCTGAATCTCGCCATGTGCTCCAACCTTCCCAAGACCACTCTAACGCATCTCCCGACATCCCTAACCTCGTTGGACATTGGCTGCACTGGCTCCATCGATGCGACAGCATGCCTCCGCCGTTTCGACCGATTGCAGTCGCTGGACCTGTCTGGATGTAGCACTGTGGACGCAAACGACATTGTCACGTTCACTCAAGCAACCGCGCCTCGCTTGCGGCACCTGTCGTTGGCACACTGTCACTCGGTTCATCTGTCCGACTTGTGGCACCAATGGCCCCAACTGCCTGCGCTGAAAGTCCTCATCCTTCGAGGAATTCGTGGGGGCAGCAAGCCAACCGCAACATGGACGGACCGCGTCAAGGCCTGCTGTCCGTCCCTGACCTTCTTGGACATTTCGTGCAGCGACCACGCCGGCAGCATCAAGAAGGACCTGCGCGAGATGATGCCAGACTTGTCTGTTCATGATGGCCATGCCGACTTTCCCATCGTGGCATGTGCGTGTGATGCGGACGACCAAGGCCCTCGCGGGGTGCGCAGGCCCGCGGATCGGGTGCTGGTCATTAGACATGCCCCATAACATGATGACCCTGATGGACATGACTGACAAATTCGACTAGTCAAACTCCACCTGCCATCCATTCCCTCTATGTGTAGCCAGCCACCTACTTCTCCCAACTAACGTTATGTTGGTACTTTTGGCCCACCGTTTTTTGGTGCTAAGTCACTTGACCGTACAATTCAAGTCGTACATTCGACGACAAAATTGACATTCACACATCCGTGCGCTGCTCATACTACTACTGTATGTACGCTATACTGTAATGTGCCCGGTAGGCGGTCGCTGGCGGTACTGGTGACTGGATGCTACCACGACCACTTCGATGCAATCCACAGCGGTTCCACTGGAATCGAAAATCGCTGTGAACACGAGATTGTTCATCGATAGAGAGGTCGCAAATCCATTTTCAACTGCCGCTCGCACGGGTTGTCGGGTTTCCATCGCGTCGCGGACGATCGTGCGAAGGCGGGACGTGTCGACGCTCAAGCACGCCAACAACGTGGACGGGTGTCGCAGGGCGCCTTCGGTGAAGCCAGACATGGTGAGGAATGCCTGGTTCGCACGCACGAGGGCGATATCCGTGGTGATAATGCACTTGGGAACGCTGGACATGTCAAAGTAGCGCTCGAGTGGGGATATCGACGACTCCATCATGGCCGGCGCCATGCGTAGTGCGTACTCGGACTTTTGCTTGGCGATCACGACGTCATTCTGGAGCATGGTGACGTAATGCAGAGTGTTGTCCAGGATCGACTGCTTGTTCATTTTGCTCGACACACCCGCTGCTTCGAGTTCCTTGCGAAGGTGCTCGATTGTATCGTTCATCTTGGACATGCGCTGCTTCTCCTTCATGTTCAGTTCCGCTCGCGCCGACGGGGTCGTTGTGTCCCCCACGTGCATGGAATTGGTATTCTCGTCACCATAATGGCCCATCCACATACCGGTACTTCGTCCTTCGTCAAGTGTGTTCAGATTTCCTCACGACATTTGGAGTTGCACTACTGCATAGTCAGACTTGCAAATGTACATGAAACCTGTGAATATACATATGTATTTGTTTATACAGTATTGCGCTAAGAAATCGTACGATGTGATTGGTGGATCGCCGATTGGAGGGATAATAAAATTATTCCCATGAAGCTTATGTTATGTATATGAAATGTATTGAATTACGTTATATTTGAGGTTTTTGGAGTCAAACTATTGTCGAAGAAAAGATAACGCATACAAATCCCTCAGTTTAAGAATGTGTACTCAAGTTCATGCGGCATTCTTATTGTGAATGATCTATTAACTGATAATTGTGATCTTATACAGAGGTATTCGTCGTACTCATATTATCGCTCCCTACCTGCGTTATGATTGGCGTAAATGTTTTGTTCCAATTCCCCTCATCAAGCAAGGGGCAATAACAAGAGGTCGACAGGGCGAGGTCATCAAGCAGCGCAACCGAGCCACGCCGCCGACGACTATCGTAGACAGCCCATAGGAACCTTGCCAACGACTTCCTTGTACAGCGCCAAGACGAACGAGGTGCGTCCATTCATTCGTTCTATACGCATATTGCTCACCTCCACGTGGTCCTTATCAGAGCCATGAGTTCGTCCGGCAGTGCACAAAACAACAATGGCCCACCCAGAGGAACCAGTAGATCCCCTTCACGCCACAACACTATAGGTGAGTTGTCTGGTGGGCCTTCGTCCATCAACGATCGATACAATTCGTCCAACAATGGCGGGCGAGGCGGAGGAGGATATGGCAGTAACAACTTCCGAGTCCCGCCTGGATACAACAATGCGCCGATGGATCGCGGCCGACCGAGCCGCTTTGACAAAGACCCACCACCTTATTCTTCCTACAACAACAGCGGCGGCGGTGGTGGTGGGCGCGGTGGCGGCTGGAACAGCAGCCGTGGTGGACGCGGCGGATTCCACTCGCAGTACAACAAGTCGTCGCGACCCAGCCGTCCATTCCGGTCTCGATCAAGGTCCCGGTCCCGAGATATCAATCGAAGAGACAATTCAGACCTCCAGCGGAATCGGTTTCTACGCGACCGGTCCAGGGATCGGTCCAGGGATCGCCTGCGCCACCCTCCCGACTCGACTCGATCGCCTCTTCGACCATCAGACGACTTCCGACACGCGTCGCCGTTGCGACATCACTCCGACTCGACTTTGAGCCATGACCACTCGAAGCGCCCGTCGCCCCAACGCCATCCGCCGCCTCCGTCGCCTCCTTTTCGACCCACGGCCCCTGGTCTCTTGACCCCTCCCCGTCAACTCGACTTGGCTCGGCCATCCGTTACCTCCCCGCGGCCTGGACTTCTGGACTCCTCTCATCTCACGTCTTCTTCTTCTCAAAGTGTTTCACCCCATCCGATCAAACGGGGCGACGAGTCGCCCCGCACGACCATAGGGGCACCCAACGAGTCCTCGAATCCTCCATCTGCGTATGCCTCTCCCCTAGCATCGTCATCACGACAATCACCAGCTCACTCGACACAGCAACTGCCATTCTCAACTCCGCCACCTTCGACGGTTCGTCCATCGAACCAGCAGTCGTCCCCTCGGACGCCGTCAGAAGCTTCCTGGAGCATGCCACTCGGTGTTCCTACCGATTCTGGAGAATCTGGTGGTCCTGCAAGGCAGAGCCCCCAACGACGGTTCGCTCAAGCCGTTCCTCCTTCCTCGCACCAAACGTCATCGTCCCCTCGGCCCCCCGTTCCCGCGACGACTCGCCCGAAGCCTCCAGCTGCTCCGACCACGCCTGACCAAACAGAGTCGAAACGAGACGAGCTGTCGCCTTTGAAACCGTTCTTGTCTCGTCGCGGGTCGTTGGATCTGGTGCACCAGTCGCAGCGATCTCATCATCACTCGACATCCCCTAAACTCGGGTCACGAGTGCACAGCCCCAACGTTGCTGCACAAGGCACTAGCCCTTCCAAGAATCATCACCCCCTCTCGTCCCAACGCCACCAGGCAGACGGGGTCGTACCTGGGGCGGCGGCGCGTCGAAGAAGCATCGACGAACATCATACAGCAAACCCCCCGTCAGTGCTCGTGGCGATGCTGGAAGAAACAATCCTCGAGCCCCCCAAACCCAAGGACGACGACGACGCCAAGCAGCAGCGACCTCGTCTGGGCTGGGGCCAAGGGTTGGCCGCTGCTTCTCCCACTGCCACGTCAACAACAACCAAACGGCCTCGCATGGGCTGGGGCATGGGGCTCGTGGTCACTCAAGTGCCGTCTCCAAAAGCTCAACCCGCTCCAAGTGCATCTACTCCACTCTTGTCGTCGCCGCCACCCGCGCTCTCCACGAACGATAACACGCCGGTCGGAGTTCCCAGTTCACTCGACGACTCAACAACTGTGGGTGGTAGTAGTCGTAACTCTGACCACCAACCGTTCGATGGACGAGGGTCCGTGGTGGTGGCTCCACTGCTGCCGCCACCACCTCCGCTATCGACGCCAGACCCGGTGGATATGGAGATTGACGACGATCCTGTCGTGAATCTGCCGCCGCCGCCGCCGATGGCTCTCGGGGTTCCGAAAGAGGACATTCTGTCGTCGATTGACTTGTTGGATGCGGAAATTGCCGACGTCACAGCGCAACTAGTTTGTGCGAAACAAGGGCTGCAGCAGCAGAATCCCCAGACACAAACGACCAAGCCCACGGAAGAGCTGCCGCCGCCGCCGCTTTGTTCACCGGTGGACAAGGCGAGTCCGTCCAAGAAGGCGCGACCCGTGCTGGTGGACCCGAAGCTGATGGCCATGGTGCAGTCGTTGATGGAAGACAACAAGACCAAGGCGGCCGACGCCCACGCGATGATCGCCGCGCTCGGCAAACAAACGGTGCAGTACACCCGCCCCGTCGACTGCCCCGGGTACGACGACACACTCGTACGCGCAAAGATGCTGCACCACCGCGTGACGCTGCGCGTACGCAGACACAAGCAGCGTCATTACGCCGACATGAAGGCCCTGGCGGCCGAGTACGGCGCACTGAAAAAGGTATGGCGCGCCAAAGTGAAGAAACTCGAAAAGGACCGCAAGAAGCAGGAAAAGCGCACGAAACTGCGCCACAAAGAGTCGGGAGAGCACAAAGCGGCCACGACCACGGCATTGGACGACAAACACTGTCCAAATCCACACCCGCCATCCAACGACTCGCAGCAGATCAACCACCTCCGTTCGTCATCTCGACTGACCAACAACACGCAGCATTCGCAAATGTCCATGATCAAGCACATTGCCGACGTCGAGAAAGAAAAGCAGGCCGAGCTGTGGGACCAAGAAATCAAGCGAAAACGGTACAGTCGTCCTTGTATGGATATGTGGAATATGTGATGATATGTGATGATTATATATAGCTAGCGTATTTGTATCTTAAAGGCATAGAAACAAACAATTCAACTGTAGTATTATATATAAATATAAATATATATATAATAATATATATAAATTTATTGAATCAAACAATTCAACTGGATGTTGTAGTATTATATATATATATATATATATTATTATATATATATAATACTACAGCATCCAGTTGAATTGTTTGATTCTATGCGTTTAATATGCATATATATATATATATATATATATATTATATTTCAAAATCGACACCATTGCTTTGTCGTCCATGGATCCAGCCAAAATGTGAATATTTGTGTTGATTGCTCAAATCCACCGGTTTCGATTCATTTTGTATGTGTATATCGTGTTGGATCCAATATCCAATCCATCCTTTACTCTATTTGTTCAAATCCCCACACTAGTTTGGTGGAGTTGTTTGATTGGCCACTTGAACGTGTTGTGGCTTTGGATTGGTCGATTTGATTTTGTACTTGTGGATCAAACTCCAAATATATTTATCGATTTGACTTTATTTCTGGGGGGTGTAGACTCAAGAACGCGATGCTGTCGTCGGGGGGGTCGCACAACAGTCCGTACGTGATTCCAGATATGATTGTGGACAAGGAACTGGTCCAAATTAAACGGTTCATTCCCCTGCCAAAGCCCCTCTTGACCGGCATGGAGCCGACGCCGGACTCACACATTGACGGATTGCATTACTTGAATGCATTCCAGTTTACGAACCCGTGGACTGACATTGAAAAGTGCATATTCGTCGACAAGTTTCTGCAAACGCCCAAGAACTTTTTCCGCATTGCTAGCTTCTTGCAAAACAAGACCACGGGCGACGTCATCTCGTTCTACTACCACACGAAAAAAGTACTCGACTACAAAGCCATCATCCGCGAGCAGCAGCTGCGTCGGCGCGGCGCCAGCATCAAGAACACATGGAACTGCTGGCAACTGAGTTTGTGCGCCGCCATGGCGCTGGGCGTCCAGTTCCCCGCCGCGATTCAAGCCAGCGTGCTGCATCAGTCCAAGTTTCGATCACATCAAGCGGCGCAGTCGATTTTGCAGGCGGCGGCGCCGGTCGTGTCCAAGGATACGATCGGCAAAGCCGACGAAGACGACGAGAAGCCCTTCGTGCTCGATTTAACGGATTTCCTCGACGACAACCTGTTCACGACCGGATACAACTTGACGTGTCGGTCGGTCCAGAGCCGATTCGACGCGTTCCGTGCATCCCCCGACTTTCACCCCGAGCACCCGCCAGCTACCACCACCCCAGGTCCTCCATCTAAAAAGGCCAAAATGGTCGACGATTCAGCAGCGACCGCGTCGCCGGTGGCCGTCCGTCGCAAGCCAACGACGCCGCGCCCGATCCCGAACAAGGGGGCCGTCAAAAAGAAGAGTCGCCCTGCCGCCTTGAAAAAGTCCGACGACGATCACCACCACCACCTGCCACCGCCGCTGGCATCTCCCCAAGTCCCCAAAGTCGACTCGAAACCACTGCAGTCCCCGGACGCCCCCCATCCCCCGCTCCTTCCGCTGCCAGCGGCGACGCCCCCGCTGTTTGCCCCCGTGCCCCTGACCCCTCGCACGACCCCCACTTCGTCGTCGCTGTTTCTCAATGCTGCGGCACTCACCAACCTGCCGCCAGGAAAGCGCGTCGTTCAAAAGTGGACCGAGCAAGAAAAATCCGACTTTCTCAAATATTTCTCGGTATGTAGTGTGTTGGGCGAATTATATATATATATATTGTGGATTTGGTACAGATCCCGTCGACTCGACGAATTATATGCTTGAGTAGATTTGATTGGCTCTTCCAAGTCTATTCAACACAAATCAAAACCACTCCAGCGTATAATATGATTCAATATTGATTAGCCAAATATCATAAGCGAATTTTAAAAGTCTTTCGCAAAGTCCACAATATATTGTGCGTTCGAGTGAAATTTCATTGTTGTGGTGTGGTTTCTCGTTGGAATTGAAATCGATTTGATTGGCTACTTCAGGATGAGCTCAAAATTATTAACCAATCAAAACCCATTTCTCAATGAAATTCAACCAATCAGATCGATTGTGGATCGGTTTCGTCGGCGCGATTGATTCGATTCCACCCCCTCCCCAAATTTGTACTATCAAATCGACAATATATATTGTGGATTTGGTACAGATTCCGTCGAATCGACGAATCATATGGCTAAAAATCTAATTTTTTGGAGTGGATTTGATTGGCTCTTACAAGTCTATTCAACACGAATCAAACACAACTCCAGCGTGATATGATTCAATATTGATTAGACAAATCATAAGCGAATTTTAAAAGTTTATCGCGAATATTCACAATATATATACTGATCGATGTGGTTCAAACGTAGGTGTATGGCAAGGATTGGGCGGCGCTGACGACGAGCATCCCGAGCAAAACTGCGGCGCAGATCAAGAATTATTATCAAAACTACAAGAATCGGCTGGGTTTGCAGGTACTAGTCTGTCCATGTGACCAGTCCCATGTAACGCGATAGGATGTTTTGAAGAAGCGCCCCGAGCACCACCGCCCGAGCACGCCCCAGACCCACCACCAAACGTCGCCGTCCATCAACTCGCCGTCGCAAGGAGGACGCCCGCCGCCGCCGCCACCGCCGCCTGCGTTTTCGTTTCCGTTGTCCATTCAAGTGCCGCAAGAGTACAACACGTCACAACAACAATCGACGGCGCCGACGTCCATGAACGCCGCGCAGCATCGCTTGATTCAGCTGCAGAAGGAACTGTCCCGGATACAAATGCAGCAGTTGCCCACAACGACATCGTCCTCCGCATCCACCTCGGCGGCGGCGGCGGCATCATCGTCGTCGTCCATGGGGGGTGGCCAGGCGTTTCCTAGCGCGACGCCGGGGTCGCAATTGAAGCTACTGCAGTACAGCTTGCAGCAACAAGTGCAGATGCTGCAGATGCAAATGTACCAGCAAAGTGTGCAAGACACCCACGCGATACACCAGTCGTACGGGGGAGTTCCTCGGTTGAATCAACCGTCGCCGTACGTTGTCACAGACCTTTAATCATATATACATACAGTCATACATGTAGGTATTACGACCGATACAAGGGAGAACCAAGCAGCAGCAAGGACGCGCCATTGGCAACCAGCGAAGTTCTCTTGGCAGCGCGTCCACTAGTCGACAACCAGGTACGTTATATTATTATTATTATTATATAAATACAAATATATTCATGAACCAAACCACGATATATTTATATATATATATCGTTCCGTGGTTTTAATATGACAATTGTGGAAATTTTCGAGTAGACGCCAAAAAGTCTGCCCCCCCTCGACCCCCCAACCGCCAGCAGCGCGCCGCCCAGCGTCCCAAGTCGCATGTCATTTTCGTCCATCTTGAATGAAAGTGTGGGCAGTCCGCAGTACGCTTCGTCGCCGTCGGCGTCGACGCCCGTCGTGATTGCGTCCGCCCCGGCGTCGAATCGGTCGTCCATGTCGAGTCTGCTCAACCGGCCATCCTCCTCCTCGTCGTCCGACATATCCCCGATGCTGCCAAACGCGCCATTCACCCAGCGGAGTTTTAGCTCGACCTTGTACCACCACCCAGTCCTGCATAATCATCGGCAGCAGCTCTACCATGACCACCACCACCCCCCCCCCAGCAACAACATGCAAGACCCCACAAGCCAAATCGGCCCGTACCACCACATCCACCCGTTGCAGCAGCAATCGTCGCTGCATTCACTGCAGTCTATGCACACATCGCAACTACCTTCGTCGATGCACCAGCCCATCCAGCCCATGCCTTGCCAGCCCATGCTACAGCCCATCCAGCCCCTGCACAGACAGCACAACGTGCTTCCCATCTACCGCGCCATGGACGACGCGTGGACCAATCAGCCTGCTTCCGCTGACGGTCGCTACGACGAACACACGAGGCATGTCTTGGACAAGGAGGCGGCGCACCTTCGAGAGGCCCAGGAAGAAGCCGCTGCCGCCGCGTTGAATGCGGCCGCGGCGGCTGCCCGCGTCGAGGCGCTGCAGCGAAACGTGGTCGCGAGGCAGGAGCAGCAGCAACCGACGATGGTCCTGGCCCCGCCTCGCTTTGCCAGTCACCCGCCCCCGCAGCCGCCGCCGTTCCACCTCAACCTCCCCCCGCGCCCCCCCCTCGACCCCCCCGGTACGAACGCGGTCGCTCCGTCGCCTTCTTCTCGAGCCAACACCACCACAGCCGATAGAGGATAAGTCCGTAGCATAGAGTAACTAGTCTTGTTATGTATAGCTTTTCGATTTGATACAAATTTGGGGAGGGAGGGAGGGGGTGCAATCGAATCGCGCCGACGGAACCGATCCACAATCGATCTGATTGGTTGAATTTCATTGAGAAGGCTTTGATTGGCTAATAATTTTGAGCTCATCTGAAGTCGCCAATCAAATCCATTTAAATTCCAACGAGAAACAACACCACAACACAATGAAATTTCACTCGAAAGCACAATAGCTTCTTCTTTTTGTTCGATTGTTTATCGAGGTTGGTCGATGAGTTAAGATTGGTCCTCGGTGAGGGTCGGAGACGGCGTCACTCGGAAATACGGCTTGAGTTCGTGAAAACCATGGGGAAATAGCGCCTTGGCCGCGTCGGACGTGATGTCTGGCTCAATGAACACGTCGTCGTTGACCTTCCAGTTGGTTGGCAGCACCACTTGGTTGTATGCTGTGAGCTGCAATCCATCCAACACTCGAATAAACTACAAGGATGCAAGAAATAAACATCCTTTGAAGGAGAAAGAACTAGAAAATGCGGAGACTCAAACCTCGTACAGGTTGCGCCCGACGGCGACGGGGTAGTAGAACACGAACTGCACGATCATGTCAATGTCCAGGAGGAACGCGGCGCTGTACGGGAGCTTGAAATGCTCCGAGCCGTGGACCGGGGCCGACGGCGAGATGAGACCCAGCGTTCGCGACAAATCGCCGGATTCGTCGGCGAATATGGGAAAGTTCACTTGGACGTCTTGGGTTTCGTTGACGTCGTCGAGGAAGCGCGCTTGTTGCTTCACTATAAGTGGTGGTGAACATTCTGTCAATGACATGGACAGTACGAGATCCAACGCTTAGCCCCAGCACTCGGCAGTTTCGCGCGTCAAACTGAGGCTTGAGCTTTGTGAGCATGCCTAATTCCTACCACAATGCGATCGACTATGTGTGGTGGGACGTCGACGAAGATGTCAACGAACGTACAGTCGCCCACACAGGATGAAAGTCCTGCGGAAATGTCAGAAGCAACGTCCATGCGCCGTCAATGTAATCATGCAGCTTGATCGTCCCCATTTGGGTCGTGCCAATCATCTTTGGAATCTTGCTACCCACGCGAACGGAAGCTGCAGCGGGCGGCATGTTGTATTATCTTGAGCAGTCACTTCCAAAATTGGTTTGTTAAAGATATTCATATAAATGAAGAGTGCTTGTAAATAAATGAAGGTAAATAATAGATATGCCATCATTTATCCTAAATTGAAGGAAATTGCTGAGAGAATTCGAACAAGAAAAATTCAATGACAAGTACTTCCAAGTAGTACTACCATAGTAGCGTCATCAACCGAGCACATCTCACTTGAAATGCATCCATTAAGTTACTGTGGAGCTACGAGTACAGTAGTTGCTTTGCTTGTGCACGAAGCTCATCACAAGCTAGCTGAATGTCCATCGAGTATGTACCTCTAGGATTTGAGCTCTTTCATCCAGAACTACTATACGTTCTTGTAGGCAACACAACTCGCGGCTAGGTGGAGCAATATCATGCATGTATTGCGGCTAATTTACTGGAAGTCGGGATCGTCGCGCATATTCCACGCGATAAAGTAGTAAAACAGAATGAGCATCATGACACAACCAATGCCGGCAAACATCGAGCTCGCGACTCTTCGGCGCTGGTCGCATTGATCTTCCATCAACGTCTGCACGGCGAGCGGCGCTCCTATTTCCAAATCTGGACGGACTTTGTACAGCTCTTGCTTCTCACGAAACGACAGGCGCCGGCATTCCCGACGTTGTTTCTCGTCCGCAAGGTCTTCATCTTCCAGGTGATGTGCTGCGAATTCGACACTGCTTCCCTTTCGCAGCATCTTGCGCTTCGGAGTCGTGTTGTATGGCGACCTGGTGAACGGGGACGACGATGTAGCAGTCGTGGTGGTCCTTGCCGTCTCGGGCGTCAGTGGCGGCAATCCTGCGTTGCTAGGCGCCGGTGTAATCGCTCCATACGTGTCGACTTTGTCTTGGAGGTGCAGCGCGACCGTCATCACCGTCGAGGTCCACTTACTTGGTGGTTGCCTGAATAATCCAAGACTGCTGCGATTGTAATTGGACAGTTACGTTGAAGTAGTCAAAGTGACGTCAGAACCCAACCTGGTCACAAACAACGATGTAATTTATGGGGGGTAGGGTCGATTAAACTGAGTCCACATGGGGGGGGCCATGTGTCCATTTTCTGGAACGAACAATGGTAGGAGCTAGTAATACTAGAATCACTCTTCAAGCACTTGACTCGGCGATTCGTCGTCCAAACTGTGAGTTTATGCAGTGGATTCAAAAGCCATAGTACGTATTATCATAAATAGTATATTCATGACAAGATCACTCGTCATATATGAAACTTAAACTACCCACCACGTACGTACTAGTAGTACTACTACAGTACGGTTGTACTAGTAGTAGTTTTCTGTTAATAACGTAATTATTAATAATAGTAGTGGTGGTACAGTATCCGATTTAGTAATACTATCTCGAATGATGTCACAAAAAAGTGTGAAATTTCGTGACAAGATGTGAGTGGACAAAATTGGCGCCGATGAATCCGTACAAGGCGGCCGAGAAAAAGTGGAAAGGGTTCAAAATGGTAGGCGACGACTGCTGGGAAGAGCGGTTGCGAGAATGGTCTTCTGCGTTGATTGACCTCGCGGCGTCCGGTGAGAATGGAGCAAGGCAAGTCGACACGATTGAGATCAGCCCAGGACGAAGCCGGCCAATCTATGCCTTTGGGGGCCATGACGACTCGGACAAGACCCACGACGGGTTTTTCTTGATTCCAGATGCATTAGATCACGATACCCAACGATTTCTAGCTACGAAGTGCTTGACAGAGTACGCGGAGCCGCCACACACGACGAATTTACACCAATTGAACCAACAGGTTGGCCTTCTTTGTCATGTTCGGCGTCCTAACTTCATTCGCGTAGGTTGAAAACATTTGGCAAAAGTCGCAGGATAGCTCCGCTGGCGATTCGAAAGCCAAAGACCCGATGCAGAGCCTACACTGGGCAGCATTGGGCTACCATTACGACTGGACAACGCGGACGTACCCCGCCCACGTCGGCTCTAGGATTCCAGACGAACTGCAAGCGTTAGGAACGAAGTTTGCCCATGCGGTTGGCTTCGACTTAACGTCTGAAGCGGCCCTTGTCAACTATTACAAGCCATCGTCGACCATGGGAGGCCATCAAGACAACGTCGAAGTGACGTTCGACCATCCCGTGATCTCGGTATCCCTTGGATGCAGTGCCATATTCCTCAAGGGTATGTATGAACTCGTCCTTCGTGTTTTGCATATTGGCACTTGATATCGTACCAAGTTCACTGCGTGTATATGTAGGCGGGCTCTCAAAGGACATTGCACCGCTGGAGCTGCTTGTTCGAAGTGGCGATGTCGTTATCATGGGCGGTGAATCCCGCTTATGCTTCCACGGTACAGGACTATACCCCTTTGTGGTGTATCTAACTTGGATGCAGGAGTTGCCAAAATTCTGCCCGTTCGACACCTGGATGCATTTCCACTCGAGAAGGATGGCGATGCTGCAGAGAGCGCCATTGCCAAGTACGTGCGGGTGAACCGACTTAACATCAACGTCCGCCAAGTGTTCCCGACAACTCCATCTAGTATGAAAAAGCAGCAGAAAGTGAACGATGGAGATTAAGATTGGAGGCATCTAGCTATTTGACGTTTTTGGTGTCGAGCGTTGCTACCAATTTGTCGCACTGGGCCTGCACTCGTCTCTTGAAATCTAGCAACAATTTCTTCGTTTGCTCGTCCTTGCCATGCTGCTTTAGGAGCTGAAGGTCGCGTTCGCTGGAAAGGTCGATCTTGGTTTCGGTGTTGGTCGCGGCATCGTTGATCACGATGTTCATGTGGGTCGCGTTCGCGTGATCCAACATGACAAACAGTTTCCCTTTCGAGGCGGATGCTGCGTCCGAGGTTTCAGATTCTATGGGCGATCCGTTGCGGGAGTATGTTAACTCGCCATACTTGCGCCGCCGAACTGTCGATGGAGTTCGCAACCGAAGACTCCTTCGACGTGATGGGGTTTCTCCGTCGTTTGAACTTTCCTTGGATGGTGTGCTGTATGCAGATGACAGTCTTGTCTTGGAGCGCGTTTGCCTGGCCTTGGGCAACACTGACGACAAGTCTCCCTTGTACTCCAACAAAAACTGGTCAATGGGCATGTTTCGGATCTTCTCGGGAATCGGCATGGTGTCCCGAATGAATTGATTCTTCAGCTCTTCCACGTATCCGTCAAATAAGGTGTTGAGCTTCTTACATCTCGCTTCAACCTCCCGTTCCATCTCTTCCACCCGCGCCCTCACGAGGCGCTCCCGCTCCGTCATTTGCCTCATCATGATGGTTTTGCTTCTGCACCAGGAAAGTTTGAATGCAGCCAATCACACGCGTTTTTGGTTTAGTAGAGTGCGTTAGTACTATGTAGTGGGTTCGACACGACCAAGTGCAATATTAGTAGTACTAAGCGGTTTCAATTAGTACTACTACATTGACCGAACCCATTTTCCCACCAAATTCACGCGCGCGTGAAGATGTCGGCGCAACGTCGGAACCAAGAGTACGTGGATGGTTCGGTATACAGAATCCGCCTGCACAACTTCTTGACGTACGGCGATGCGGAGTTGTTCCCCGGGCCGCGATTGAACGTTGTGATCGGTCCCAACGGCACGGGCAAGTCGTCGATTGTGTGTGCGCTCTGTGTCGGGCTTGGCGGGTCGACAAAGGTGCTTGGACGCGCAGACAAGATGGGCGACTTTGTCCAGCATGAAAAGGACTCTGGTTTTACAGAAATCGAACTGTTCTTCACGAGAAGAAACGTCGTGATCCGCCGCAACATCTTCCGCGACAACCGGTCCACATGGCAACTTGACGGCAAGGAGTCGACCCAGAACAAAGTCAGGGAAGTGTTGTCCAAGGCCAAGATTCAAATCGACAACTTGTGCCAGTTTTTGCCCCAAGACAAAGTGAGTGCACCACCATGATCGTTCGTGCTTGACGATCTGGATAGGTTGGCGATTTCTCCCGCATGACGCCGACGCAGCTGCTCAAGGCAACCCAAGCCGCCATCGGCAACGGGGAATTGGCCGACCAACAGGAAGAGATCTTGAAGATGGAGAAGGAGAACAGCACGAGCAACCATGACTTAGTCGCTGCCCGCGCTCGGTTGGAAACTAAACGGTCCGAGAACTTGCAGCGTCAGCGCGATGTCGAGCGCATTCGCGAGCAAGAAGCGCGTCGAGTGGAGTTGGCCAATCTCAAAAACAAGCTGCTATGGGTGCAGTACACGGAGCAGCGGCAAAAGGTGGACGCCTTGAACCGTCGAAAGACTGTGCTCAAAAATCGACTTCGCGTACGATATATATATATATATATATATTCGTTGCCGCCTATATATATTGACGTTCTCCATCATTAGACTGCCAAAAGCGTACAACTAGATCCACTCAAACACTTGCTCGAGGAGCAAAAGGACGCCATGCGATCTATTCGCGACAGGTCAGTATTACCGACGTAATAATATTTTATTTGCCATCTTACTCATATACATATATTTTTATGGCAGCAAGAAGGAGATTGTGACGGAGAAGGAGCGGGTCGTTGGCTCCCTCGCCAACATCAAACAGCATGTACACATCACGTTATATATATATATATATATTTATATATATTATGGTGATAAAATGTTTGAATAGGTGGACCGAGCCGACCGTGAAGAGACAGAAACCCAAGCCGAGATGCAATCGCTGAAAGAACACCAGCGTCAATTGAAGCATCGCCTCGAGCGTGAAAAGCAAAAGGAGGAGAAACTCCATGAAGAGCTGCAGGGATTGCGCGCCGAAGCGGGCTTGCGGGAAGACCTGTCGGCGCTGCAAGAAGCCTTTGACGCCCAAAGCAATGAAGTACACGCTCAAATATATATATATATTCCATAACAGGCTGGATTTATAGATTTTTCACATTACGAGTTCCCGGGAAAGCGATCGACACGACGTACGTACATTCTTCACAATGTGTTGGAATCTATCTATCTATCTATATATATAATTGCGATATATCGTATATATATATATATATATAGTTTGGCCGTCTTACCAGCGAAATCCACCGCATCGACGACAAACTGGCTCGGCTGGAGAATGCGAATTTGCAACGGCAAAAGGTGCTGGGTAGTCGGGACCGCGACTGCATGCGAGCATTCGAGTGGGTGCAGAAGAACTCTGCGATGTTTCAGCGCAAAGTGTGGGGGCCTATAGCTCTCGAGGTAGGCCCATGGCTGTGTATGAGGGTGGAAACTATATATGATCGTACGTAGGTGCAATTGACCGACAGGCTGTACACCAAGTACCTGGAAGACACGCTGCAGAACTACGTGCTGACGTCGTTCGTGGTCGAGTGCCGCGAGGACTACAACACGATGCTGCGAGAGCTGAACGAGGGCAGCCAGCGCCTCGGTGTGAATGTGCTGCAGCTGGACGAAGGCCGAATCAAGCCCTTTCAACGGCCATATTCGGCCAGTCAGATCAAATCGTTCCAGGAGAACCTTGGCATGACTTGTTACTTGGACGAGGTACAAGAGGCTCCACCGACGATATTTCGACGTGGTTAATATATATTTGTTTATTATTGTGGGATTCGATATATATCTCCAGACCCCGTCGAATCACAAATCATCGACGCTATTGGCGAATCCAATTTTTTGAGTGGTTTTGATTGGCTCTTACAAAAAGGACAATGATATTTTCAACCAATCAGAACTCCAGCGTAATGCAATACTACTATTATTGATCAGACACCGAATGTTTGAAGTTGATATATGTGCATTTCACCCAAACTTGGACTTGTGTGTCATTTCGCCAAATATTAATAGCATTCGAATCCATTTGATTTCATTGAATCTTGTACAAACTATACGATACACCAATGAGTATATATGTGGTTTTGCCCAATGCGGAGGGACTGGGCCAAATTAAACGTTTGAAATTGGCAGAAACTCAACACGACGTGATTTGATTGGCTTGGGCGGTTCTTATGAATCATCTACTCTCCATTCGATTCTGCTGACAGCTCCAGTTTCGAATCGATGAAGTCACAATATACTAACTCGAGATTGTGTGGGTTGTTAGGTCGTAAAGGCACCAGAGGTGATCCATCAAATTCTCCGCGACCACGGCGGGATTCACACGATGCTGCTGGGGACGCAGGAGACGGAGGACATGATCAACCGAGGTGTGGATGTGTTTTCGCAGTTGGCAGCGATCAACGACAAGGCGGCGTTCTTGACCCCGTTCAAGAAGTACGTGACGTCAGGTATGTTGATTTCTGCTTGTGATGTCTTCTATTATCGTCCTTTCAGCCAGCCACCATACATTTGGAGTTTTGCCCAATCCATCGATGATCGATATTGTTTGTATTGACTTTTGTTTTACCCAAAATGTGGACTTTTTGTGCTGATTCTTTGCCAAATCTATAACTCTTTGTCCTGAGACTTTTGCATGTCAAGGTCGTCCAGGATCACACTAATTGAAGTCATACACTAATTCGGTGTTGAATTCGTCAAAGAGTGGATACTTTGATTGGCTATGTGATTCGTGTTGTGGGTTTTGATTGGTCGTAAATCGATTTTGTCTGTCGATTTGGTTCTTCTGCTCACATTCGACCGAATCGACTGCTTGACAATACTGAATTTTGAACGTGATATATATATATATATGCTCAAAATGGTATATATATATATATATATATATATATGCTCAAAACACGAATGTCATGCACACACACGAATATCTTGTTGATATATGAGAGTTTGAGTTTGATTGTTGGCCAACACAAACGTCATGATGTTTGTGTGTTTTGCATGTCGAATCGAATGGACGATACCAACTGCCGTTGATTCAATAGTGTCCAAGTATGGAAACAAAGCCGCGACGACTCGGTCCAACGACATTCGCGAGCCACGGTTCTTGGCCGTGTCGGCAGACAACCAAGGCGAGCGAGAGCAATTGCAACAGGAACGACTCGCCAAGCAAACAGAGATCGCTGCCATCCAGCAAAAGGTCTGGAAACGATACCGTTATGAAAGAATCATTCGATAATAAGTTGTGCCTAAAATAGATTGCATCGGTGAAAGCGCGAGAAAAGGAGCTGTTGGATGCCAAACACGCGACGAATATCCAGCAAAACGACATCAAAGCGCAACTTCGCCGACGCCAGCAACTGGTCGCGTACATCAGCGACACCAAAGCCAAAATACGCACCCTCGAAGCTGATGCGGCCAAGGTATACATAACTCTAATAAATTATACCCGCCAAATAAGGCCCAACAATAATATTTGTTCTTGTAGGACGTGTCGGACAAGCAAGCAGCGCTGGCGAGAAAGCTCGTGAATACATTGACCAAGTACGTGTGTGTGTGCTTGTATCGAGGGGGGGGCTGTTGTCAAATCGATTCGAAACTGTCTGCAGTTAATCGAATGTCTCACGAGAAATGGGAATGATTCAAGAACGTCCTAAGCCAATCAAATAATCACATTCTAGTGAATTTCTGCCAATCAAACGTTTCACTCGACCCTGTTCCGCCGCAAAACCATATATATATATATACTATTCTGTGTATAGTATAGTTTGTACAAGCTGAAGTTGGATTCGAATGCTATTGAAATGACTCACACAAGGCCAAGTTTGCGTGAACAATGATGCACAATATATATATATTGAGCTATTGTTGGGCGTACTAGGCATGTCAAGCAACTGTCGGGCAGCCGTGAAATGGTCTCCAACTTGATGACGATTACGTCAAAGCAAGTCGAGTTTGATCTGACGAGTACGACCATGGAGCACCGCGTGACGGTGATTTCCCGCGTGTTGAGTGAAGAAGAAGCCAAACTCCAGTACGTGTCGACTCACGATTTGTTGTGAATTGGGTGGTTGTGATGATCTAGACGGTTGAAGGACGAGTACGACGACGTCAAGCGCGCGCTGGTGGACGAGGCGAGACACGCGGTCAAGCTCAAAGAACGTGCGGAGCGAGCGGCACCAGAGAATGACCCGGCGTTCGACTGCCTCCCGGACTCGGCCGTGGAAATCCACGCGCAGGTCGAAAGCATTACGGTGGCGCTGGCGCATTTCCGCGGCGATTTGCGCGTTCTCGACACGTACGAGCAAGTGCAAAAGGAAATCGAAGAGGCCGAAGCCAAGTTGGCGAGAATGGAGTCGAGCTTTGCCACGTTGCAGGATCGCATCAATGCCATCAAGGTAATGTTGTAGAGATATATATATATATATATATATATATATATATATTGCTTTTTGGGTTTTTTTATTCACGGATAAGATATTGATATATTTATTTGAAATAGGACCCGTGGTATGCCCAATTGACCGACGTCGTGTCCAAAATCAACACATCGTTTGCGCAATACTTTAAAGACATTGGGTGTGTGGGCGAAGTTCACTTGAACCAAGACGGGGTACGATTAACAAATATATTAATTTTTTAAAAGATTCTAGTATATATATATATATATA